TGACTCGGCTGCTGTTTATGTCTTTGCAGTCCGATTCATTTTTATTTGAATCACCATTCGATGAAACTACCACCTCTGTGTCTTAGTGTGCTTTCTGAGGGACCAGCGAAAAAAGCAAAAGCATTCTCAGTGCAGGTCCAAATCAATGGGATCTAATTTCCTTCAGAACTGTACTATTTTAAGCCCTGCTGATAAAGTCTTGATAGATGGAAATGCATTTATATACTCGCAGACCAATTTAATTTCCTTCCCTGTCATGGGACCTCTGTCACAACACTTCCTGTAGGTACCAGTCAAGGGAAGTCTGGCATATGCTATTGGTGAAATAATTACGTTTTGGAGCAAAAAAAACACAAAGACCCAACCGAGGAGTCATGGCAAAGAGCAGCATATTATGACAAAGGTTCAAACAAGGCCATTATTGGATTTTTACAATGAGAGACAGATGGGGGGAAGAAAGATGTTTTAGTTGGAGAAGTAAAAATGGAAAAAGGATGATTTTCTGACAAAAGAAACGTGACTTTTGTCCGCTTAACAGTCAATTAAGACTATGACTATACTGTTGAAAAGAATGCAGTTGATCTACAGGAAATGCATCGAAGAATAATCTAATAATCTGATCAATGCTCAGTAAGGAACGTTGCTCAACAATAAGAAACGCTAGCAGGCAGCAATCTTACGTCAATCACAAGGACCTGTTTAGCTGAACATATCTAACAACAATAAACTAATTTGACTTTGACACTGCAGTCACATAAAGCCACCCCAGTTTTGCAGCTTATGGGGAAAGGCCCACAAATGAAATGGAACAAGGAAAATGTCTGTGTGAGCGCTGGGTGTCTGTCAAAGCAGGAACTGGGAGGCGTTCAGTGTTGACCTCTGAGGGCAAGGACTTCCCAAAGCCCCTCTGCAAAACAACAGCAGACCCGGCAGCTGACAGTGGGACACAGGCTGCTGCTGCTGCTCTGCTATGCCTGCCTTTAAAACTCTCCGGCTCCACCTCTCTTTCCCCTTCTTCTCTTGTGTGCCATCCACAAGGGCAAGACAGTAAAGCCCTTTGAAACCTTAAGCGGGAGAAAGAAGACACAGCCGATATCACCTTGCCGATATGATCTGTCTGGAATGTGGCAATGCTTTACTGTATTTGAACAGACACGTTTGTGATGTCAGACAACAACGGAGAGAGGGCGAGGACTCGGCTCACAGCGGTTTGATCCCGACCTGAGAACGGGAATTAAACTGCTCACAGCATGGCATGTCACATCTGTGATTCACGGTGGGCACGTCGAGCGCGATTCATGCGCGCGTGATTCAGTTAGATGACTTCTTCTTACGCACATGTCAACAATGAAGGTCAGAAAGAGGTGTCCCATGCTGTAGAGGGCGCTACAGGAGGGTTTCTGTCCTTTAGTACAAGTTAATAAAGATTAAAAAAAGTCAACAATCAACTGCCTTGACTTGATAGGAAGGAGGTGGTCTGCTGAGCTACAAATAAAAGATTGTTTGGGGGGGTTAATACGGCAGACATGATGAAGCGTATCGTCTGACCGCTAACTGATGAGTAAAATGACCTCAACAGAGCTATGCAAGAGGCGCTGGGTGAGAGCTGGATTCGTCAGTTGTTTTCATGTTCCTTCTGCTTATTCTGGACATTGTTCAAAAAAAGCAAACAGGCCACTCCCACCTCGCCTTTAAACACTGCCCACCTCTGCAACCCTCGGTCAGCCCCCGACAACAGATAAACTCCCACCAAGTGATTCATTTAGCAGCACTGAGACATTTCGACCATGACTGTTTTCCTTATATTGTGGAGATGCAGTGTGTGTGTGTGTGTGTGTGTGAAAATTGACTACACATGTCTGCAGTGCCGCTGTCACATGTTTGAGAGGAGGAGGAGGAGGTGGTGGTGGTGGTGGTGGGGGGGACGCAGAAAGTTTGTACTCATAATGTGTTTTTGGAGCAAGGAGCTGTCGTAGAGCGAGTGAGTCACTGCTGAGAGTTAATCGCATTTGTAAACAATTAGAAAACACTGAACCAGGACTAGTCATGCTTGTTACTGTGTACAAACATGTCGTCTCCCGTCTCCACCACCGGTTGCATGTCGGCTTTAACTGCCATTGTTTTGCTTTGCATACGATTTGCATGCCAGAGCTGCAGTGGTAGTACCAGTTTTCACTCTTTCCTTATCCTGCACTGGATTCTACGCTGCAGAAAACGTGCACGGCCGTGTGCCACATTCTCAGAAACCATCTGGGGAAAGTCACAGGAGACGTTTTTTTTTTGTTTTCTTGTTTTTTTTTAATGCAATGACAAATCATTTCACCAACTAACTACTGATTAACAAACACAGCCTTCATCTGGCGTCGAAAGGCCTTTGTGGTAGAAGGAGGTTACATATTGACAGGGAAGGTGTTTGTTAAGAATTAAAACGCCTTTTCATCGTTGCAAATAATCACCTACCAAAAAGCACAAGTGTACGAGCGGCAGCTACGCCTCCTCATCTCATTCCGATATAATGACTGATCGAACTTATTACCATATTGCAAAACAAAACACACCTTGAGGCTGGAATGTCTGGGAGTGTATGAAAGTTGCATCTGAAAATAAACCCTCTACATTAACTTAACTACGTCAGATGACAGTAATACTGGGGAGTAAATGGCCCCGATTGTCTATAGACTGACTTTAAGTGGAAGGAATTTCAGATGGACAGATTATCACATTCACAAGTCTGCCTGTTCTGGACACTATCTCATGACACTGTTTTCTGGCTGAAACTCTGTGTGTGTGTGTGTGTGTGTGTGTGTGCGCAGTTGTTTATAGGTTTTTTCTCAGGGTGAGAGGCAGGGTGAGAAAGGCTGAGAGGCTGTTCCCTGCTCTCTTGCCTGCAGGCCATTATGTTGGCTCTATCCTGCCTTGTGAGTTCTCTTTTTTTTCTCTCTCGCTCTCTCTCCTGTTGTTGATAAAGTACTGTAACCAAGCAAGTATTTTCCTCTGCACTATTGCAGCTGCTGTTCCATACTGCCCACGGTGGTCTCTGTGTAAACATTAGCCCGCTTTAAGTGGAAGACAATGAGGAAATGACAGGACAGGAGTAAGAGAGAGAGAGAGGGGGGGGTGCATTTGAAGACATTCAAGGATGGATTTCCAGATGAAACAGAGAGATGACATCATGGCAAAGTCAGCTAGCAAGAACATGGAGAGGCCTGGTAATGCAACACCATACATAAACAGCAGACAGCTGTATTTATAGGAGATTGTCTCATGGTTCTATCTGCCTCCATAAATCCTATTATCTGATTTGCAGCCATTCCCCTGCCCGGCACCCAGCAAGAGATGAGCAGCTTTGGCTTACGCGGGCCTTATCAAGGCGCTCAAGTGTTGTGCAGTTATCACCATTGTTGTGACATTAGCCGACTTGGCTCAGATGATAACTGGTCGCATCAATGCTTGATTAGACATTACCTCAGCACGCTGAGATAAAGCCAAATGGCAGTTTGTGTGCATCTGAGATATTATAGACAGCTGTCGAGTATTACACAAGCTTACCTCTGTGTTATCTTAGGACCCCACAGTGGGTTCCATGTAAAAACCTGCCAACAGCAATTTGGCACAAAACATACATTTCAACATTCAGAGCCAAGAATAAGTATGACCTGAGAAAGAGTACAGGTCTAGCTGGTGGTGGTGGTGGTGGTGGTGGGATGCACCTGCTGCTGCTGCTGCTGCTGCTGGACTTTAAATATCAGAGTTTGGCACCACTTTGAGATGCAGATGAACAGCAACACAAAGGGCCCATTTAACAAGAGAGTGAAATCTGACTACTCCAGCTTCTAAACTTCTAAACATAGACCAAACTAAGCGGAAGTGTGTCAAACTTACATATCTCCTCAGCTTTTTTTCCGGCGGTGATTTTCTCAGCCAGCCCTGTAAGATGATTTCTCCTCCGCTCATGTTTGTCAGTGTCTGCTGCTGCTGCTGCTTCTTCTTCTTCTTCTTGCTCTACAACCGCCGTCTGTCACTAGTACATGACGGCTCCTGAAGCTCGCCTGTTCAAAGTGCTGTCGGCGTTTGGCTCACACTGGTGCAGTCTGCTCCCCCCATTTGATATAAAAATTCAAAGTAGTGCTGGTCGGAGATATAGCCAAAGCCGCTCCTGGTGGTGCTGTGGCGAAGAAAACCCGGCGCGCAAAAAAAAAAAAAAAAAAAAAAAAAAAAAAAGCGCAACTCGACTCTTGGGGAATTACGCACGGCCAGCTGACGACGAGCCGCGGGGAAACTCAACTGATGCAGGGTGAGGAAGTATCATAGGATGTCTGCAGTTTGTTTTCCCAACTCATACCACGCCCACCGAGTAAAGAGAGGGATGGGCTGCGCTGGGATGAACAGGATGGGAGAACTGCTTGGCACAAAACAGCTCCAAAGAACGAGTATAAATAAAAAAAAATAAAAACCATCTGTAATATACAAGTTTCAGATGTTCGCACAGAGCAGATGTTTAAAGTAATTCTGTTCAATTTCAAACACCAAAATTATTTTAAAAGATTACCTCAAACTTGTATTGCCTTTCCAAATACATTTACGCACCAACAGCAGCGCAAAGAGGGAGATTCCTGGATGTTTTGTGCTTTGTATGAATCTAACGTTAACATAGTCATCAGTGTAGACAAAAAATAAAATATAAAAACGAAAAAAAAAACGCGTTTTCTTATTGGCTTAAAAGGGAAAAGGCACCACCTGGTGGAACGTTAACAACTCAACATGCTCTCTCCATAGAACAACTCTTTCATAAGAAGTAGGTGAACAGTAAAGGTCCTGGTCATACACTGCTGTAGGAATGTCGTGCACAACCAATGAGAAAACAAAACTAATTCAAATCCATTTTGGCTGAGAAAATATTTCATTTCAAATTCCAATCACTGTTGTTTTCATATTGCAGGTGCGTGTATGTTTTAAACGCTTTCTACCGACATTTAGAAACCAATAAAACGTGACGCAAATTACACAAAGCTGAATAATTTATTTATTTGACTTTTCTTTTTTTTAGACACCAAAAAAACAAACACATTTATGAACTTCTCCATTTGGCTCGAATTGTGTCTCATAGAAGACAAGAATGTGAAAATCTTGGGAAAGGAATCACATCTTTTATGTTGTCAACGCCGAGAATGCACTGCAAGTATCGCTCAAATCCCAGTCCGAAGCCTCCGTGAGGGACGGAGCCAAAACGCCTCAAGTCCAGATACCTGCGAAGACATAAAAAATGTTATTAAGACTCCTTTGGTATGTGAGCTCATTTCTTTTCAAATGCTGTTAATGTTAATTTGTGTGGGGGGTTGTTGTATTTGTTGTTTATTTACCAGCTGTAGGTGTCTTCTAATCCAGCCCTGGAAAAGAATATATTGAACAATGTAACAGCTATTTAGTGCAGTTTAATATATTTATAATGTAGTTTAATAAACATTCCTGCCACTGGATACCTGTGGTGTGTGCAGCTTTTTTTTAAAAAAAACCCTGCTAATCTGGGTTTTTAAAGCTGAAATGTATAAAACTGTTGATCCGTGAATTCAGAAATGATGACTGACTTGCTATGGGTGATGCATATAGATGTATATTTTAATCACCCACCACATGCAATGCGACACTAGTGGGATTATGCTTGATCTCGAAACATTTCAAATAATTAAAACAACTGTGCAGCTATTGACAACTGCAGTCTAAATGCATTAGAATCTGCTTCCACGCCCCCCAAAGCATTCATTCTTACTCTTCCAGCCGAGCCCTCAGCAGATCCAGCCTCTCCTCTCTCAGCGAGCCCCCACAGAGCTCTCCAACTCCTGGCACAAGAAGGTCCACCGCAGCTGCCTGCACACAAATGACAAAGTCAGCTCAGATATGCAAATCGCCGCAATAACTCAACTGACACGGCGAGGAAGGAAATGAGTTGCTAAATCATTGATTCACTCTGCATTTTTTAAAAGTGTAACTACGTCTTACTGTACGCTCAGGATGGTCCTGGTTGTCTCTTGCATAGAAAGGCTTCAGATCATAGGGATAATCAGTGACAAAGACTGGAATGTTGCCGCAATGTTTCACCAGGTACTTCTCGTGTTCCGTCTTAAGGTCACAACCCCACTGTAAAAAAAAAAAAAAAAAAGAAGGGCTAAGGTCAACGTGGAGCGAAAATGTTAATGGAAAACACTGTACATAGTTAAGGTAGGTATCAAATATGATCTATCAAAGAAAAAAAATAATGCAATTGCCACTTACACCGGCTGGGGAGGCGAATTTCTCCGAGCTGCGGTTTAGGATGTCTACAGCCTCAGTGTAGGTAATCCTGAAAGTAGAGAGTATAAAACATTCAAGCCCTTGAATCTTTTACTGTATTCTTCAGCGGATGTATTTTTAAATGCAATGTTTACAAAAATAGGAGACTTACACAGGGAAAGTGTTCTTCATCATAGCATCTACTGTGTCCTTATGAATGCAAGAAGGAAAAAAAAAATGTAAGCTGAGATATTAATGAAGTCAGATATAGTCATGGCTGCCCGCAGGACAGTGCCAGACTATGTACCCGAGTTAAATGAGTGTCCTTCACGACTCACCCTGTGTCCAGGAGTCACATGCTTGTGAAACAAATCCACATCCTCCACACAGTGAGCCAAGACATGTTCGGTGGCAGATTTGAACATGTCCTCCATGACCTAAAGGAGCAGGCCAAGTTTAATAATTAAAGCTTTTCTGGGCAGCTGTGCACAAGGGCAACCTTAAAAGGCACGTAAGGTAAATGTAAAAATTGAACCTTAGTACACAGAGATTATGTGATGACATCAGCTCACTTCTTTCCAAAATGCTGATATACAATGACTTAGCTGAGATGACTTTTAATCAAAGGTTGCCAAACAACTTTACTGCTACTTAGTGCCTCCTTTTGTGAACAAAGTAATGCCCTACAGGTATGTAAAGCAGCTTTGTAAAAGAAAAAAAGATGACAAAATAATCATAAAAAAAGCCTTCTGTTCATACAGCACATCTCTATGTCGTACAAAAAAGGAAGAAATCACTCCATTGTATGTACAGAAAAGTGCTGAGTGAAAGGCAGTTAACGGGATATAACATGTTAACCAATGTTCTAACTTGATTAAGATCACAAAGTTGCATTAGAGGACGATGATAGAACGTACTTTGGTGAGATCCTCTATGGACTGCGTGAAGGAGATCTCTGCCTCCACCATGTAAAACTCCGCCAGGTGCCGTCTGCTTTGGGAATTCTCTGCACGAAAAGTTGGCCCGAATGTGTAAACTCTAGAAAAAGCCCTGCAAGAGAAGGAGTGTCAGAACATAATCTGAAAAGTGCTTTGATATAAGTGCAGAAGATAAGATCAACTTCATTCATCCTGAAGGAAATAGTTTTGCCAGAGTACAATACACAAAGGTTAGAGAAATATACACAATTACAAAAGGGTTAGTAGCTAAATAGAAATCAAACAAGAATACAAAGTACAACATGCAAAGTGTCTAAGTGGATGCCAAGAAATGGTGCCTAAAAAATAAGTACAAAAATGTAGGTTAAATAACAAGAAACAGACAAATTAAATTAAACAGAAAGTGAATTGAAAGTAAACACTATACTCCACACAGGACTTTTCTTAAAATATTACACTGATTGTACATCCATCCATCCACTATCTATGCACCGCTTAATCCTCACTAGGGTCGCAGAGGGCTGGAGTCTATCCCAGCTGACTTAAGGTGAAGGCAGGTTCACCTGGACAGGTCACCAGTCTATCACAGGGCCACACTTAGAGACAGACAACCAAGCACACTCACATTCACACCTACGGACAATTTAGAATCACCAATTAACCTCAACATGTTTTTGGACTGTGTGGGAGGAAGACGGAGAACCTGGAGAGAACCCACGCTGCACGGGGAGAACATGGAGACTCCACGCAGGAAGATCCCAGTGTCCTCACTGGGACGTGAACCGGCGACGTTCTTGCTGCGAGGCAATGATGCTAACCACCAAGCCACCGTGCAGCCCACTGATTGTACATTTTGCATTTTCTATTTCCTAGCGTTTTTTTTTCCTATTTGTTACATTTCGCATTTTATATTTTCTTATTATTTATTTTTGCCCATTTATTGGTCTTTATGGTGGTGGTAACTCGATCTTGTGCTGTAACAACCACATTTCCCTTTGGGGATTAATGAAGTATTTTTCTATCCATCTATTCTATTGCACTTGATAAAAATTGCACAAGATGTCAGAGAGTCTGTTATGATTGCACATGAAATTGAATAAGATATTGAAAAGAATGCACATATGCATAAAAGCAAGATGTAAATTTCAAAAATGCAGCACAGATACATTCATATCATTCATCTCACCCTGAAATCACCTCCAAATGAAGCTGTCCAGACACAGTCAGGAAAGTCGGTACCGAGAAAAAGTACTCATCTTCTACAATCTCAGGGCCTGACGGCTGTGATAAAAACAGAGGTTTTAAGTTTTCAAACAATGTTGTTCATCCTTCTGTTCACAAAAGAGCTTTTACTGACTAAAGGTGACACCGCATACAAACCATATTCGATTCACATAAAGCAAAAATTCAAGCTAAAATGTTTCTGCAGCAAAAACCTAACATATATAAAAAACAACTTGTGATCTTTACACACTCACCTCAACCTGGAAGAGCTCCCCTGCCCCTTCGCAATCATTTGAGGTGATGATGGGAGTGTGAATCTGTACAAAGTCATTTTCCTGGGAAAACAAACAAGCAAAAAAAAAAACCCTTTAGGAAGACTAAAACGAAAACCCCTTGCTCTGCACTCTGCTAGAAACGCCCCCAGATTTTCTCACCTTGAAGTAGGAGTGAATTGCTGTAGTGGCCTCGCTTCGTATTCTCAACAGAGAGCTGAAGGCATTTGTTCTACACCTGAGATGAGGGTACTGGCGAATGTACTCAAGGCCGTGTCTCTCTTTGATTTTAAAGGGAAAATCCTGAAACAAGAACATGATGCAACAACATTAAAGTATCTCACGTAACGTAGAGGTGCTTTAATTTGAAGCGAGCACGGTGAGTTATTTAACAGTGTGCAGGATGTTTGTTCTTACCACTGGGTCACATTCTCCAACTACAAGGATTTGATCTGCTTCCAGTTCAACCGACTGTTTCTTGTGGGGGCTTTTCTTGAGGATACCTGTGACTTCGACAGCACTACCGAATGTCAGCAGCCTTAGTTCAGAGGGGGGAAAAAAAGAGCCTGAGCTTTGAAGTATGGGCACACCTTAACTAAAAAAACTGATCACCTATACGCTTACGGATCATTCAGCTCTGGACTGGCGACGACTTGCAGCGGCTGCAGGGAGCTCCCATCATTCACATGGAGGAAGAGGTTGGCCTTCTGAGGCCTGACGGAGCGAACCCATCCCTGCAGCACAGACACAAATCAAAACACACTTTTCTGAATGTGGTAAAACATCTTTTTGCACAATTAGGATGTTGGTAATTTAAGAATTTCCCTCTACATGCATTGTCAAAACAAATGTCAGAAGTATAGAATGTGATATGCTGTTAATGTATTTGGAAAGCAAAGTGTGAAAGGGCAGCTTCAGTTCAGGATGTGTGAGGTGAAGTCAAGAATAATTCATCACTTCATGCAGCAGGACTACCATTAGAAAGTATGAAAAAAGGGCATTAATAGGCATTATTAAGGCTTGAGGTAGCTGATTGGACTATTACATTCTTACAACTACAACACAGTAACCCTGGTGTAACTGTAAATAAGCAGCATGTTACTGCAGGAAAATAGTAATAAACAGTCGTTACCTGTACTTTGACACTTGCTCCCAAATCTGCCCCCGACAGTGCCCGAGACACTCTTAGTTTCGTTGGTGTCTTCTTACAATAACATCGAATCAATACACCCCGACAAACTAAAGTGGTTGATGCAGCAGAGAGCGTTTTAGATACCGCCTGAAACATGGTGACAAACGCCGCTTTAACCGACACGAAACTACATTAAAAGCCCATCATGCTGCGACAACTTGAACATAAAAAGAACGACTACTTAGTTAGGTTTTATCATGCATTATATGTTTGGTTTGACTTGACTTTCAGCTCTCACGCCGTGTCAGTTGGCTGACAGGAACACTTCCTGTTGAGGTCTTTCACTATTGGTCCAATTTAGTCACGTGGATTACAATAAGCCAATCACATCTCAGCTTATTGCAGCAGTGTTTTTGTTGCTCTTGGGAGCTGTAGTTCAGAGTTACTGACGCAATTTAGCATTTTCAGGAACTATTATATGGATATTTGGGTAAATATTTTATTTTAGAATAAAAAGCACAAGGCACACATATATTTAGGGAACAAAATATTGTCTAGGGAAGAGAGTGCAGAGGATCATAAAGAGATGTTTAAACTAATCACCTGTGCTTTAACCTTTTTGGCTAATGTATGTAAACACAGTTAAACACACACACACACACACACACACACACACACATTATAATATCACAAATTCTCTTCTCTGGATTCTAATAAACATTTATTATTATTTTTAAATCATAGTGTCACATCAACAGTGCCTGTAAGGACAAAATGTGTGCTAAGGCTGTGATTCTTGGGATAAAAATATTCCATTTTTTCTATTGCATGCTGAAACCTCTCTTCTGCTACACTGGACAGAGGATTTCCTACAAAAGGCCATCAACCCAGCTCATTTCTACATACAGGAAGAAATATAAAATCTATTCTCAACAGGAGCGCGCAACACATACGGAGTGATTCAATAGTGTAATGAAGCAAGCAGAACAGCTATCAGAGCCACATGGAAATCCTCTTTAATCTTGCATGATGTATCTGCCGTCAGTGTGGGGTTCATTTGTGCGTAAACCTCGTTAATTCAATACCCACAACGACACTGGGTCTCTTCCCACCATTTGCTGCTGGAGTAAATCAGATCATGCCAGCAATATAATAAGATGCCATAGACAATTATTCACCTGGTCTCGCCTGTCAGCTCCGGAGCCCCTGGCCGGGGTCTGCCAGCAAACACAGAGCTGGGTGTCTCCACCTCCGGCTGCTTATGACACATCATCATTAAACCCAACATGATGCATTTGAAACGTCAGCGGGGTCATTGATATTAATTATCTCCAGCATGGATGGAACAATTATGCACATGGTCTCATCTTAACAGGAAGCAGAACAATCCTATTTTCTGATTAATTGACAGAGTGCAAAATTTAATGGGGAATTTGCTAAGGTTCATGTGGCTATTTTGTTTTTGTATTTGTGCTTCTGTATTTGGTGAAACACAGATCTCTTGAAGTCACCATTCATGAGGGAGTTATCCTTCATACAATACAAGGGAATGACTTATATTTAACAACCTAAAGTGAATAGAGAAAACACATCCACTCCAGGACATACATCAAACTAGTTGTTAGAGTAATAAACTGCTTGCGTCTTTAGTATCTTCATGTGCAATATCTTACTTTACCACAGGGTAGTGCTGTAGCTCTATGACACTTTCCACTCCCTCTCCAGATCCCCACCTAGTGCAGATTTATTCATTTACCCCCGAGTTGCCTCCAATATATTATTCATTTGCAGCTCCAAGGTCTACTGAAATGAAAACAAGCTGGCATTGTAATGTTCTCTCTGCAGTTCTATCAAGCATAATGCAAAGGACCTGCTGGCTTTCATTGGCAGCAGATAGTCCAGCACAACAGTCAGTTCAGGTTGCATCCAGAACTGTTACACATCAACGGGGAACAGCAAGGTTGAGGTACCCACAGCGTTTAGCTATATCTTGATTTGAAAATTCCCCGTCTTTGCAGGTTTGGAAAATTCGGTGACAGCTAAGCTTGCACGTGGGAGAGATGCTTGATGGCATGTGGCATGCAACTATATTTCCACAGATGCACATCCTCCCACAGAAACCACAAGGTAATGTATGCATGCAACAAAGTGAGAACCGTATGCTCTGCCGTCTATAAAAATGTTGCACAGCCAACAAAAACGCCCCAAAGTAAAATGTTACCCCATTTATGCTCCCTGTAATAATAAATCAAGGACAGAAGTCAAATGGTGCTCCCTAATGGGAAAGACATAGCTCCTTGTTCTTGGAGCCTTACAGGTATAGGAGTTGTTTGGCAGTGGCCTGACAACCTTATTTGGGCTTAACAACTTGTTAAAATCAATACGCGATTAGTCAGCAAAACAAAGGATTTTGCTGTAAAAGCTTGGATCTCAGGAGGCTCGCTGAACTTAGAGGGCAAGTGCATCCTGTGCTCTCAGCAGGCCCTGCGTGTCCAACGACTGCGGCACCCTATCGACGGAATCTCCTGCCCCTTCCGCGAGCCCTCATCGGCTCCTCCAAATATTCTGCATTCTCAAATGGAAGGGGGCATTGATTTCATGTAGCACGGCTCGTTAAGTGCTGATTAGACCGTTATAGTGATGTGATTTCAGGGAATGGGTTTGGGTGACAGGCGGCCAAACACAAATCAAAAGGAACTAACAACCCTTACTAAAAGAGATTTGGGCCGCTGCACTGCTTCACCTACGACTCTCCAGTTACTACCACAATGCTGTGTTTGTGTCAGTTTATATCTAATGGGCCAATTTTGGAAGTCTCAAGCTGAGAAAAAAAAAAATATCCATTAACAACAGTGCTCAAGACATTCAGCCTTTTTGAAAACGATTGTGTTAGCCATCAGTGAGTAATCAGTTTCACGTACTTGTAAAATCAAAAGAGTGCAGCGTTTGGGCTAGTTTTGAAATGGTTATTCAATTAATTCTTCTTCAAAATATAATACTAAGCAATTTGTTAAACTGATTAAGTCATTTTAAAAACAAAATATGTCAGGCAGTTGTTGTTTCTCAGATGATTTGTTTCTTTTTTTCTGTAATATACCACAGAAAAATAAAATTATTTGGATCCAAACAAGCAATTTTCCCAATGGGCTTTGGGAAATTTAAAGCCATTTTAGAGGCTCTGTTTAGCAGTGAACTGTAAAACTAACTGGCATATTAATCCATAATAATAATAATAATATAAATAATAAAAACATTATTTGCAAGCCTAAGTGAAACTGAGAGCATTTGTCTAAAGCTGTGTGCAAACAAAATGGAAAACAAAGTCTGCTTGACATCAGGTTCAACTTCTTTGCTTATCATATTTAAGAAAAGTAACCGGGATCGTCGCCTCGCAGTGCAGCCATGATGTTCCTGTTATTCACCATATATATATATATATTTTTTACCCTATCCTGAGTATTTAAGGTGCGCTGCTCTGTTTCTTACTCGCGAGCCACATCAAAGACAACTTTATTGCCCATCACCTTGTGAGCATGCTGTTCAATAAAGTGCTCTGCAAAACTTATCTCAAAAAGCACTTGCACCTCTGAAACTTCTATTGCTAATTCTCAGCCAAACTTGACAAGTTGCTGCGGAGCCGAGTAGGATCTTCGCTCTGCACTCAAGCCTCCAGATAATTCACTCTCTCGCTGAAGGTTGGTGCAGGAGAGCAATATAGTTACATCTCTCACGTAGGTGTATAACTTACTGCAATCTCTTAATTTCTCATCATTTATGGCTTTTTTTTCTTCTATTTTTACAGATTCTTTTTCAAAAATCATGTCCCTTTATTATTGCACTGCCTTGTGGAATAATTACATCACTGTCCTGTACTGTATGAGTATGTGACCAATATGAACTCTTGACTCAAACCAGTGTCCAACATTCATCTACTGTGAGTTTACTTTTGAAAGCAACAATCCTGCATGAGTGAGGGCGGTGACTACAGCGTGCCAGGTTAAGATCTGGTATGATTTTACTAATCATAACTTCAAACACTGACAGATTTGGGGTATTATTATTTTATTTTTTATACTTTAGTTTCGCACTGAAAGGAGATTCCCCTGGTGTGAAAAGGAGACGGCAGCAGAGACAGAAAAGTCGTGCCAACACAAACGTTTATAACACAGTTTCAACCCTTAAAAAAAAAAAGTCTCAGCAGTTTACCACGTGAACCTTTTTCTTTTCTTTTCCTGGAAGCAGTCAAAGACAAGACCCTCCTGAGATGGCTGAGAATAGATGATGAGAAATAGAAAAAGCAATATTATGCCGTATCACATGGCGTTATTTTCATCCGCGCACAGGCCACAATCAAATGAAACAATTCATTCTCATTTACACTGCGGTCTTTACAGCAGAATCACCTGTCAGCGTCGACTCGGCTTCATTTCCCCCAGGTTCTATAGTTTAACTCCCCATAAGGATGAAGCTCCTTTGTCCCCCCGGTTACAGGATCATTTGCACAAATGTTAACTCTTGCATATGACGCAGAAATTGTCGCCCCCAGAGGAAGCCAGATGAGATTTTCTTACATTGTTGGGGTATCTCGGTACATTTATACAGCGCATTCAGTGTTTGTTGCAGATTTGTCCGATTACATGTTATTGTAATAAAATATTAAAGCTATGCTGACTCCGTGTATAGAAAAGACCTTATTTTTTTAAAAATCTCATGCTTCGACAGCCTGTGTCTGTAACACTACTGAGATCATTTAGAAAAAAGTCTTCGCACTTGATAATTTTCCCTTTAAAGTGTAAGCATGTCCTGTGGTTTAGCCAGGAGTTGAAAGGAAAAAAAATGCTTGCTGTGGGATTTTTATGATGTTTTGCTCCACCCAAACTCTTTCAGGGCATTTTTATGCCTCTGTGAGAGAAACAGCTGGGGCCAGAGGCATAAAAACGTCTATCTGCAACTCTGTCCGTTCCATTCTTGTGAAGACAACAACCTCTCCTGAACGCTGGGAGGGAATTTCTTCAAATTTGGCACCGACGTTCACTTGGACTTTCAGAATGAACTGATAAAACTTTTGCTGGTCAAAGGTTAAAGTCACAGTGCCCTCAGAAAACATGTTTCATCCATAACTCATGAATTCGTACGCTAATTATTAAAAACTCCCACAACGCCGTGCAACAGGATTAAATTATAAGGTGATGACTTTTTATATCGAAAAGGGTCAAAGGCCAAATCAACAGACACGGATGGAAACTGCAACTTGACTGCTTTGCACAGACATACAGGCCAACGTGTTTAATTCTAGTT